TTGCATTTATATAATGCCCTTCATGCAGGATAACATCTCGGAGCGCTCTGCATTGGTGGGTTGGATGCTGAGCTAGGGGGAGGAAGAGGATGTGGCCATTTTGTGTACACACAAAAGTTGGGAGAGAACTGACCTACAAAAAGTAACAAACAGACTAGTCACTATTAATTTAAACCATTTGATGTGGTGCTACTAGACTACAACACAAAAGGCTCCTTTACTATCATTGGTAAGATGTGACTGTGTCATCTTATAAGAACATAAGAAATGCTTGACTAAAAAAAAGTCCATCTCGCTTGCCTTCCACCTTCCTGGCGGGCGCATGCACATATGTCCAGAATGACCTATATATTGTATCCCATAATGTTATTTCCTAAAAGAAAACAATCTAATCTCTGTTTGAAGGAATCAACATTTCCTGCCTTAACCGTCTCCCTGAGCATCTTACTGAGCATCTAGACCTTATGGCAGAGTCAACAAAACCAGGACACGCATGATAGTTCAGTTTGAATGGGACAGCACAAACCACACAGACGAGAAACAACAGTAATGTTATCTCACAATTGATCAAATAATTAAAACTAAAATTTATTGGACTAGGTATCTTGTCTTGTGAAGGGATGTGATCAGTTAGTGGTGGCACAGCCACTATGGATCAAGTGGTCCCCTTCTGGGCAGGGAATGACCTAGATTCACCCCAGGGCTAACATGAATCACGAACACAGAACAGTTACATAAATGGAAAAAGTGATTCACCACCTTCAGGTTTAAATGTTTATGTCTATGTTGTTGTTCAACATGACATTAAAGAACACCACATCTTTAAAAGATTAAAACACTGATTCATTCAGAATCTTTTTTCCTCCTCACAACGTTACTGTGTCTCAATTACACCCTCTAGTGGACCCATTTTGCACAGACTAAAATCTAGACACCATTGGAGATTATTACATTATCTACTTTACTGCCACACAGAACATTGCAAGCTGACATTATGTGTGTTCTGACATGGATTTAGCTAGCACTAAATGTTGTGTAACAGTGGACTAAGAAATCCAAAAACATTTGTACAAAGGAAATTGTGCTCAACATTGACTCCATTTCATGCTTTTACCATCTCCACTAACAACAACTTGCATTTATATATCACCTTTCACTCAGGGTAGTGTCCCGAGTGCATCCCAGAAGCTGAGTCTGACAACAAGCCCAGGGGAGAGGGAGGGGGGAGGTGACCGTAAGGAGGTCTTTAGGCAAGATTTGAAGGTGGGGTGGGAGGGGGCAAGGCGGAGGGATTGAGGGAGAGAATTACAGAGCGTAGTGGCTGAAGGTGCAATGGTGGAACGGAGGGCACAAGGGATAAACAGGAGGCCGGAGCCAGTAGGTTGTGGAGTGGAAGGTAAGCAGGTCAGATAGGTAATGAGGTGCGAGGGCTTAAAGGGATTTGAAAGTTAGTGAGAGGATTTTGAAATCGATCCCTTTGGTTAATTGGGAACCAGTGGAGCCTGACAGACTGGTGAGCATCCAGGCATCAGAGTTTTTAATTAATTGGATTTTGTTTATGGTGGAGCTGGGGAGATGAACGAGGAGGGCATTAGAATAACAACAACAACTTGGATTTATATAGCGCCCTCCACCCTGGACGGCATCTCAGAATAGTCCAGCCGGGAAATGCTGAAGGCGTGGACAAGGGTTTCAGCTGCGTCAGTTGTGAAGTCTGGACAGAAGCGGGCAACGTGGCAGAGGTGGAATAAAACAGCAATACAAAGTCTTGTTCACTTGTATTCATTCACAAAATGAATGACTAAGGAAGTACACTTCAATATTAACTTGGAGGGTAATCTAAGATGATGACACCTGCGTTCACACACAAACAATCACATACTTCAAACGTCTAATTCCATGCTGGAACGGAAACAGGGAAACAAACCACCTCCTTCCAACCAGTGACAAGGAAGGTTTGGTTATTCAAGGTACTGAGACACCCCTCTCCTTGAGAAGATGCAGTGCTTCCACTTTGTCATTTTTGTGGAAACACTTCCTAAGGTCAATTGTAACACCCTACTGCTGGCCCAACTCAAATTAGCAAACTCAGCACAGACCATGGATACGATTTAACCTACAAAGATATTACTAGTTAACAGAGAGACATGACTTACCATTTTTATAGCGCCTTATCACGGCAATACATCGCAAAGTTTTTCACAGTAATTATTATCTAACATAGTGACTGTTTTTCTAGGCGTATGACATAACTATTTCCAAAAACAGCCACAAAGTGCAATAACTGACTAATCTGGAGGTCTATTGACCAGGACACTGGTAGAAACTCCATTCTCCTTTCAAATAGTGTTGTGGGATTCTCAAAGTCCACCTGAAGAACAGACAGACCGAACTTTGGTTTTAAAATCTTTAGTCCATACTACTCCAAGGCACATATGAAGGTGTAGATATCTCTTCAATTATGTATGACAAAGCCCTCACAGTCGTCTAGCTGAAGTTCCACCCCCCATTATATATTGGGATCTCATTTGTAGATAGGTTCCCAGATAATACAGGCAATTGTCATCAATTCCTGCACAGGCATGCAGAAAATATCAGCCATCATCTGACAACAGACGATAGCTGTTACTGTTAGTGTGGGAGATCAGCCAGCCTGTCGCCAGAAGCTGGATGTACCATGTTTTCGGTTAGCGCACGACCACAGGACACCTGTGCTATTCACAAGGCTGTGCTATATACCAGAAGGGAGGGAGGCCGCTAAAACAGGGCTGCCCTGATTTTACATAATTAAATTGCACCCATAATTCTTCCCATATAAATGTTTTCGCACTCGCTGTTAACCCAACTTGCTGGTAATGTTCACTCCAGTGACATCAAGCACTGCAAAGTAGGTATTCCTCACCGCAAGGAAACATCACTTCAGAGGATTCCATCCTTGGCCACATAGGGCCGACTCTTTCCTATGTAGATGAAGTTACGCCATTCAGAAAGAGATAAATCCAAATAGCATACAGGAAAAAAGGATACATGGTGCAGTGTGGAGCATAATGAAAAGGAAGAAAAAGAAAATATGATTTGGAGACGAGATAAGCCCCACTCACAGGTCAAGAACCTGCTGCTCAGCAACCCTACCATTATCACAATTTAGCGCAACAGGAAGAGATTTGCAAATACCTGAGGTTCAAAGAAACATTTCAAACAATCTTTTCATCTTGGGATTTCATCAGTTTTGAGTCATTTTTCGAAGAGATCAGTGAAACCGCAATTTTGTTTCAAAACAGAGACATGAAAGGCCCTGAGATGATTTCATTCCCTCGTACCTAAAGCTTCTTTTTGTTTTCCTCATAGATCACAGTGGTGTAGTTATATTTCAGTTCCTGATCAGTGGATTCTTGCATGTCTACCTGTGTTCATTACCAAATCTTTAATAGCTTCAAATGACTTACGCCTCAAAATTTTTCTTGAAAACAAATTTTAATGTGGTGATAGAATCTTTCAGCAGAACAGGCAGGAAGGATATGGGTTTAATGTCTCAACCAATGCATGGCACATCCAATAATTTTGTGCTTCCTACAACAATGCATTGGAGTATTAGCCCAGATTGTGAGCTCAAAGTCCTGACTTGGGGATTCATCCCCAAACCCTCTTATCTGAAGGTCAGGGATACTGACTGAGTCAAGGTTCAATTTGTTATTAGCGCCCTCGGACATGCATACAGGCTGAGAGTGGGACAGGGAACAAGGCTACATCCACAATATTAAAAAAAAAATTCTGTGAGCAAACAAATTGTATGTAATCTATAAAGTCCTTCAGAGGCTACCAACTGAACCACAACTACTGGTCCATTTTTAACTTGCCCTTCCTTGCCAAAGTTCTGGAATGAGTTTTTCCAAATCAAATTCACTCACACCTATCCCTTCACTCCCTACTCGAGCCCCTCCAGTTTGGGTTCTGCGCTGACCACAGCAGAGACAGAGCTTGTCAAAGTCTCTAATGATATCCTCTCCCTCTGCCTCCTTTTTCCTTATTTACGTGCTTCCCCTTGGCGATGTCATCCACAGACATGGGTAAACTTCCACATGTATACGGATGACACCCAAATCTATTTCTCCTCCTCCTGCTGCGACTCCAGGTCTGCCGATGCTCTGTCGGCTTGTCTGTCAGACATCAAGGCCTGGATGAGTGAAACCTTCCTGCAGCTGAACGTCAAAAAGACAGAAGCCATACTCCTTGGCTCCCGTCAACGTCTTCTCTCCTGCTGCTCACCCCTCTTCAATCTCCCCAGATTGTCCCTGAAACTTTCTATAACCTAGTATATAACCTAGATGTCAATTTTGGCTGTCTTTCCTCCCCCACATCCAGGTCCCTTATCAGGACCATTATCTTCCACCTCCCTTACATTGCCCACCCCAGATCAGACCTCACACCCAATGCAGCCAACACCCTCGTCCACGCTTTCGTCACTTCCTGCCTGAATTATTTCAATGCCCTCCTCGCCAATCTCCTCAGCTCAACACTATCCACGAAATCCAACAAATTCAGGAGTCCACCGCCAGTAATTTGAACTCTTTGAACTCTTTGAACTCTGTACTGAATCACTGAGTCCTCGCCAGATTCCACTGGCTCCCTCTCACAGAACTGATCGATTTCTAGATCCTCTCACTCGTCTATAATATCCCTTCACATACTGGCACCTCCCTACGTCTCCAACCTGCTTACTCCCCATTCCACCACCCCGTTTCAACTCTGCTGGCTCTGGCCTCCTGCTTGTTCCTCGGCCCCTCCACCCACCAACGACAGCTGTGCTTTCAGCCACAACGCGCCAAACTATGAAACTCTATGCCTTGATCTCCCCGCTTGCCCCCTCCTTCCCCTTTTTCAGATCATAGCTGAAGACCTTACTCTTCAATCAGTAAGCTCTGCTTGACATCAGGTTTTGCCACTGTTAAGGGCTCTGAGACCCTACCTCATGTGAAGGGCCCCATATAAATGCAAGTTGTTTGAGGTGGGTAGGGTGGATATTCTGGAAGAACGAGATCAAATGGGCTTTAGGGCCTTCTTCGTCTGAACCAACCTAGTTGTCTCTCTGTACACATTTATATAACTCACAATAAAAGAACCCAATGTGCATGTACACATAGCACTAGACCTGATGCTACCTCAATGGCATATGCCCATGTTACAGAACTGCTCTACCTTCGTCCAAGGTTTCTGCAACCACATTGTTAACTGAATTAATGAGCACAGTTATCAAGGAGGGTCTTTCGGCCCTCGGTCCACTCTGCAACAACAAATTTATATTTATATAGCACCTTTCACATCGAGAGGACATTTTTAAGAGACCTTAACTGTCTATTCCTTACCTACTCTATTAAACTATCCATAAACTTTAAAACAAAATTAAAAAGGAACTTTGTTGCCGCGAAAACAATCCCAACTTTTCACGTCCTTACACAGTATCATAAATACAACCGTAATATCTGTTTGCTGGAGAGTACTATGGAGTCTAACGCGCACAGTTCTTTATCACTGGTAAACATTTCACTCTACACTTCACAATATGAAATACCATTTAAGTACAGAACAATAGTTTTGTTAACAATAGACGCTAATGAATGAGATGCAGCAGCATTTTCTATCCAAGCACAGAATCACATGAATAATTTCAGTTTTTTTTCCATTGCATATATAAGTGCTGATCTAAACACATCTCGTCATCATGCAGGTTATGTATTACTTTGAACGACTGCTAAGCGCGATACCGAGATAAAATAGCTGGTATCCGTCCTGGGAATGAAGCTTGATTTGAAACATTTTTCTTTAAACGCTAAAAAAGACGATTCTGGGAAGAGCGAGAATGTTAATCTGTCCATTCGCTGTTGCAGGCAGGACACCTGGTATTAGAAATCTCAAAACAATTTTTTTTTTAAAAAAGCGACAAAAAGTTTGACTGTCTTCACATAGTCTTAACTTTTCTGCGTTGTGTGACCCAAAGGAAAACTGTGATAACCATAGTCCCAGCTCCGACAATTCCAAGGAACATCCACATGGGAAATCCATCCTGTGAAGAACAACTTGCATTAATACAGCACCTTCACACAGGTTAATGTCTTGAAGGGCTACAGTGATAGGGTTGGTCGCCAAGCAAAGGAGAAGTGAGAGGTGACCACAGGCCCGGTCTAAGAGGTAGGTTTATCAGATGGGATTTAAAGATGGTTAAAGAGAGGGCGAAGCTAAGGGATTGGGATAGGGAGTTCCAGAGATTAGAGGCATGCTGGCTGAGGGCTCAGACACTGATGGTGGCACGGGGGGTGAACATAACAGTCAAACAGCCTTCCGACACTCACTGTCAAGGCTCACACATGTAACGAACAATTACCATTTGGGCAAGGTACCCGAGAGCTATCTGTGCCTGTGGAATTGCACCTCAGTACAAGGGAGTTAGAAAGAACTTAAACACCTTTAAGAAAATTTGGATAAAATTAGTGAGAGGAAGAAAAGCCTGAAACTGAAACAAAATTGCTCAATATGTTGATATTGTTGGAAATTTAAATGTGTAGTATTTGGAGTCCTAACCTGCCGAAGACATTTGTATCCATGCTGGCCCTTGATACAGGAACACTGGAACAATCCTGGCCCGTCTGGCTCACACACAGAATACTCCGGACACAGGTTACCTGAATAGCAAAGAACCATGAGACAAAAGGGCATCAGTGACAATCTGCTGTTACACTGATGTCAGGCAGTAAACACATCACTTCACATTCAGGGCATGGCATCTGATCTCAAGTCAGAGGCAAGAAAGAAAATAAAGTTTAGCGATACCATCTTGGAAGGAAATCTTTGTACCAATTGGTTTTTTTTGGTTTACGAGCACAAAATTCCATGGAGTGTCAAAACAATCATAGGCGTAACCCACACATGACGTCAGCTTCAAACTCTCATGTAAAGACGTAAACTCACTGGGCTCAGTTGTTCCATTGCAGGTATTTTTCTGTCCTTGACATATCCGTTTGTTCATCTCCAAGGTTATACTTCTCCAGGCAGCAGCCCCTTCAGGGCAATCTATGGTCACCGGCAACACTCTAGAAAATAAAGGACCATTGCATTCTTTCTCAAGTCAACCTTTCTCTCAGGATTAACATTCCAACCTCCAAATTAGTTGCAATATGCCTTGTTTTGCTGCAAAAGTCGCTCCTATTTAACAGAAGCTGAGCCCCTAACAAATATCTATCCACCTCCATCTTGAAAATGTGAATGGATCCAGCATCCACAGCCTTTTGGGGAGAGTTCCAGATTTCCTTTACCCTTTGGGTGAAAAACTGCCTCCTGATTTCACCCCTAAAGCACCTAGCTCTAATTTTAGATTATGCCCCCTTGTTCTGGATTCCCCACCAGAGGAAATAGTTTCTCTGGATCTACCTATCAAATCCCTTTATTTTTTTAAAAACCTCAATCAGATCACCCTTTCCCTTTAAGCCCTGGTATCATTCTGGTGAACCTGCGCTGCACCTCCTCCAGAGCGCATATATCCTTCCTGAGGTGCAGTGCCCAAAACTGAACACAATATTCCAGATGGGATCTGAACAATCAGAAAATGTTCCCTTCATCCCTACTTTGTTTCCTGCCTCCCAACCACTTACCAAGCCACGTCGCAAGGTTACCTCCGATTTCATGCGTTTTTTTTATTTGCTAATAACCTCTTGTGCAGAATCTTATCAAGTTCTGAAAGTTCATGTAGTCCATGACATCGTCATCTATAGATATTTTCTTATCCACCATGTTAGTGACCGCCTCAAAAAATTCAATCAGATTCGACAGCCATAACCTACCCTTCGCAAATCCATGCTGACTCTTTAAGTAGCTCATACTTGTCCAAGTACTCAGTCTCTGTCTCTGATGAGAAATTCCAGTAACTTCCCCACAACTAAGCTGACAGGTCTGCAGTTCCCTGGTTTCTCCCTCCCTTCCTCCCTTCTTAAATAATTGCGTGACATTTGCAGTTTTCCAATCTCAGGGCACAATTCCCGAATATAGACAGCTTTGGAAAATTATGATTATATCACTGCTCATCTTGGACTATTTGGCCAGAGAGACAAAGTTTGAACTTCTACACAACTATTAACAATTATTGAAGCAAAACCAAAATATCTGAAGTGCCGTTCACCAGGGATACAAGGTAAATGCTGCCCATCACTGTGCATTTTGACCCAATTATCAATTAGAGATCTGAATTTTCAGACTGGTTACGGCAAGTTAAAAAGTCTTGACAGAGTAAAGAGCACTCATAACAATGCTCGGGGCATCTAAAGGCAACCCATTAAAAGCTTAATAGGGAAGCTCTACTCAATGCCTGACACATTTACAATTCCTAAATTAGATTATGGGGCTATGCAATGTTATTATATTGAGCTCTGTGACCTTGTCAAAAGATCTCCTTTCACTTGACTGTATTGTAGTGGTTAGCATCCATACCTTGCAAGCGAGAGGGCCCGGGTTCGATTCCTGGGTGGGCCGAAACGCCTGTTTACCTAGCAGTAAGTTGGAACCTGGTTGCTGGTTATTTGACAGATCGCTTTTCCGGGGATAATAATCCCTCAAAAAAAANTTTGATCACACAATCCAAGACTGTATGTGGGACACTGTTGTGCACAATTGGCTGCCGCATTTCACCCACAAAATGCACAGTCAATTCACTTTACAGTATATTCAGTGAAGCATTTGAGATGTGTCATTGTGGTGATAAGGCGCTATATCAAAATGCATGGATTAGATCCCAATTGAAGTTTTTGATTTTTAGATAATACGGATCACTCTAAAAGCTCACAGAAGGGAAGAAAATGCGAGAGGAGGCAAATGATAAGAATCTTAAATTTTCACCCTAGAGCCGACTGGAAGCCCAATCTGGTGGTGGAGGGAACTGAGGAAGGAGGTGAGAAAGGTGGCCAAAAGCACTGTTGAAAAGAAAGGTCCTACAGTAGGCTTTAAAAGTGGGAGAGAGAAGGTGAGATGGAGCTATTCTGGGATGGAGTTCCACCGTGGGGGTAGAATGGCTGAAAGCTCGCCCTCCGATGGTGTTGTAGGTCAGGTGGGCTACATGTAGTTGGGCAGTGTTCACTATGTGAAAGGAATGGCCTGGGCGGTAGGTTTCAGAGGTCGCAGAGGTAGGGTGGAACAAGGCTGTGTCGGTATGTAAATTACTTACACCTCTTGTAGCCTTGTAAAACCTCGAAACACAAATGAAATGTTCTCAAATGGATTGTCAGAGAGATCCCTAGAAAGATAAAACATATTTACAATACAGTTTTCTACAAGAAACAGTTTAAAAACTTCCACATTTGCTACATGTCAATTTTTTTTATTTCTCCGAATATTGATAATTACAAAGCAATTGACAAGTCAACTAATATCGGAATGAAAAGTGTGACACTTTGTAACCGATTTAACGTGACTACATGAAATCAATTACATATCACATTTTTCAGCCCATGATATTTCACAGCACTGAATAATTCTTCCATGGCTGCATCTGTAAACTTTTAAGGATAGGAATATTAGTACAGCAAATACCAGCTTCTACTGTAGAGTAGTACCCAACAGCACGTGGTTCAGTTGCACAGAGTTGAAGAGGCCACAGCTGAAGACTCCGCACATTACGAACGTGTAGCCATACAAACTAAACAATTTTATGTAGTAGTTTACTCAGGAAAACAGCTTCAATTAACTTCAGGCCCAATAAAGAAAAACTTGTATTTTTATAGCATATAATAGAGTCCTGTAGCTAGTAATAATAATCCTTACATTTGATACAGCGCTTTTCAAGTCTTCTAGACATTTCAAAGCGCTTCACAGAATACACTGTGAAGTTAATTGATTCTATATTTGTGGGGGAAACGCAAATGTACAAATGTAGCTCAGTGGTTAGAGCATTCCCCTCGCAAGTGAGAAACCTGGGTTTGATTCGCAGCAGGGCGAAACGTTGGGCAAGTTTTCTTACTTCACATGCCTCTGTTTACCTAGCAGTAAGTAGGAACCTGGTTGTTAGTTGGTTGGCTTTTCTGGGGGCAATAATTCCTTTTTTTTAAAAAAATTGGTCACTTCAATCCACGCCTGTTTGTGGGAAACTGCTGTGTGCAATTGGCTGCCACACTTTGTCGATAAAATAGTCAATTCACTTTACAGTATATTCTGTAAAGTGCTTTGAGACGTCTCGAAGACGTGATATATCAAAATGCAAAGATTATTATCTTATGTCAAAATGTTTCAAAGCATGGTAATTACTGAAATCCTGAAAAAACAAAGAAAGCCTTACACACCAGCTAACTAGCAGTGATGAGCAGTGCAACCTAACATGTTCACAAAGACACGATGAGCAGAAATTCACATCAGAACCTGAGGAGCAACTACCTGCACACATGCCTGCTTCAGGTAATAGTGTTAAATGCAACAGTAGCATACAGAACAGGCACCAAAATATACCCACATGTCACTCTCATTAGAAGATTATATAGGAATCTCATAGAATCTACTTCCGCCTAAAGTTCTTTAACGCAACGATCTTCATTTCTGAATATTTCATTCACCATGGCTTTGGTTTAGAACTGAGCTTTCCCAGATGTTCCAATTTAATGCCCACTGTGCTGGGTGGGAGGCAGATAAAAAATAAAAGACTAAATACCAAACTTACAATACCACCAAGGTGCTGGCAACCTTTAGCAGTTCCTCCATCTTGGTTATGGAACAGTTCCACAGATCCAGCCTGCAAACACACAATCCAGAGGTTTCCTTAATATGTTTCATCTTTGGTTCATTTAATTTTATTCCTTACCCCACCTCTCCTGTAGACACTGATTGATGCTGAGGTACATTCCACAGGCCCAGCGCAACTTTGGCTCCTTGCCTAAGTGTACGCTGCCCACACAGGTAGCTGCCCAACCCAAGCATGGTGCAGGATGTGATCAGATTGTAGACAGTGCAGCGGATGACAAATCAAAAGACTGAGTTGTATGTAGAAGACCCTGTGGCCCATTTGATCTCATCTTTCTGGAACACCCATCTTACATTCCTCCCATCACAGCATCAGTGTCCTAGTCTCATTTATAATATGCTTGATGCTGTGATCCTCCTGCCAAGTAACCTGTCCAAGTCGTTAATTAACCTCTGACTAAAGAAAAACTTCCTGGTGTCTGACCTAAAATTGCCCTTTAGAGCCAAATGATTTTGTACGTACAAAACCAGAAAAAGTTGGCAAAGTTCATTATAAAAAAAAACTGACAGCCTCTGTGCTGCATATTTTTTTGGAGTTTTAACTTTCATTGATAATTTCGCCACAAAATAAAGTCAATTTACTTTACAGTATATTCTGTGAAGTACATTGAGACGTCTCAATGACATGATAACGCACTGTATCAAATGCAAATATTATTATTATTTTAATGGGACACTACTGTGCGCAAAGTGGCTGCCACATTTGCCTGCAAAATACAAGTCACTACACTTTACAGTAAATCCTGTGAAGTGCTTTGAGATGCCCATCTGACATGAAAGACACTGCAGCATATCAAAATGCAAAGATTATTATTGCTCTTATTCCATTTAATAGCAATGCTATTAAATGGAGTCCTGTAGCTCAGTGGTTAGAGCACTCGCTTTGCAGCATTTCAATTCCAGTCAGGGCGAAACCTTGGGCAAGTTTCCTTACTCCACACACAATAATAATCCCTCCAAAACCAAAAACAATAATAAAAAATTGGTCATTTTCAATCTACTACTGTTTGTGGGACATTGCTGTGCGCAATTGGCTGCCGCGTTCGCCCACAAATATACAGTCAATTCACTTTACAGTGTGTTCTGTGAAGTGCTTTGGGACGTCCTCCCGACATGAAAAGCGCTATATCAAATGCAAGGATTATTATTATTATTATTATTATTATTATATTGCTGAAGTATTTTAATTCAGCCACTAGAGGGTGCAATTGAGATTTTACTTTGCTGCACAAACCAAGTATAGGAGAAGCATAGCATGAAGCAGATCGAAACCCACAAATGTCAAGCAATTTAGATTTATACAGTATACTGCTTTTCATGTTGGAAAAAACATCTCAAAGCAAATCATGCAACTGACTGGGAGCCCAAACTGAGGTGGGGAGGGTAGGGAGGTGGCCATAAGTGGAGGCAAAGAGTAGTGGTTGAGGTACTAAAATATACTCAGATTAGGACACCTAGGGAATTAAGCAGGACACATAGGAAGTTCCACATATACAACAACAACTTGCATTTATATAGCGCCCTCTACACTAACCAGTGTATCCAATGTTTTCCAACCATAGTCTGCTACCCCTCCCCCGCATTGTGATGTTAAGCAAATTCAGAAATTCCAGGTTAAATCAGCAGTACCATCACAAACATCACAATCTTGGTCGATCAGTTTATTTAAGGTTAAACCACTGCCACTATAAAAAAACAATCCTGGACTTTTAAATGTGAATGTGAGCCTCCGGCTATATACTTGATTGTTTAATCCCTCCAGGGCAGACCTCCTGAACGAAACTCTCAATTTGTAAGTGGGATTTAGTTAGATCATGGGCTCAGCCACATATCCTGAGATGAAGAGTTCTGTTTCTTACCCCACCACCTCCTGTCGAGCCTGCTTCTGAACACAGCATCGCCCATCCGCAACCAAGGTGGAGTTGGCATGACAATAATTAAAGACGGCTGTCCCATTCCTCAGATCTCCTGGACATCTACTGCACAACTGGAATCAAAGAGCAAATAACACATCACACAACAATCAACTTGATAATACTTTAAAGTCGAACAAAAATCAACACAAATGAAATCATGGAGGGAAGATCATTCTAAAAAGCAAAATACTTCCCACACTTCAGGGTTATACTCTGTAATTTTGTCAATCGGACCTTATAATGGAACATTTATTTTTTGGGGGGCGGAAGAGAACAGAATCAAAGGTACAGTGACTGCAAATACCAGGAAAGCGCAAGTGTATCAGCCTGGCTCAGGTAATGTCTCCGATTCAGGGGACGAAGGTTGTAGGTTCAAGCCCCACATTAGGACTTTAGCCTCATAAACAGTTGGCTAAGGTGACACATTAGTGCGGTGTTGGTGATGTGCTGCATTGTTGGCGGTCCTGTCCTTTGGATGAGACATTAAACTGCCCGTTTAAGTGAATGTTAAATATCCATGGCACTATTTGAGAAGGGAGTTCTTCCCAGTGTCCTGGCCACAAATCCCCTCAGAAAAATTGGTCATTGACTTCATGGTTGTTCATGTGCCATTGCTATGTGCAAATTGCCTGCCATGTTCAGCTACAAAATACAGGTACTGTAGTTTACAGTAAATTCTGTTAAGCACTTTGAGACATCTTTTGAGATTTCTCTGCTCAGTTAACACAGGTCTGCTGCCCGTCCCCACCGCCCTGCACACCACCATCAATGGCTGAGTCTTCAGTCACTTTGCCCCTCACCTCTAGAATTCCATGCCTTTATCCCTCTGCCTTGACGCCTCTCTAGTTTTAAAGCTTATCTTAAAAGCTACCTCTTTGACCGTACCTACGGTCACCATCCCATTTTCCCTTTCTTGGTGTTGAACCCCACTGAGAAGCACTCTGAGACATTATTAACGTGAAGGGTGCTATATAAATGCAACTTGATGTTGTCTTCCCAATGCGAAAGATGCAGTGTTGATTGCAACAATTATTATATTAAGTTCATTAAAACAACATGGACCGTGATTTCACAATCAATGCTTCAAAATTCTGCCAATAGCTTCTCCTCTTGCCCTCACATGGTCACCTGAGGTGTACCTCAGGGCTGTCTCTTCCTTCAGTCCCCTGATGAATAAGTTTAGGAAGACAGGCACTTGGGGGAGGGGAAGGTACCAAGTACGGGTTTTCCCATCACTCTGCTTATGCAAGAGAGATTAGTGTGTTCATACATCCCTATTTGCCTTTATACAGAAACCTGGAGGCCAAACGCAGATTTTAGTATTGTCCCTTTTATTTCCAAAAGTGCTTAATGTATTCATTGCTGTCTTGTAGCAACAGTTTTCCTATAAAGTTAAGAATTGCAATATTATAGGTTATTAATCATTAGTTTATTGTTATTTCATTTAATCTGAAACACCATTGTAAGAAACATATACTTTATATATTTTTTTAAAAAAGTCATTCTGTGCTGATAACATTCTATTATCAATATCAGAACCACTCCACATTTGAAAACCTGCTATGACTGACGCCCTCATTATAATAATCTTTACATTTGATATAACACTATCAAGTTGGCAAAATGTCTCAAAGCACTTCATAGAGCTTACTTTAAAGTGCAGCCGCTGTGAATTTGTAGGCAATCATGGCAGCCAATTTGTGCAAAATAGTGTCTCACAAATAGCTGTGAGGTGAATGACCAATTTCTAATTGAGGGCTTGTTGGTGAGGAGGAAGGAATGCCATTCTCTTTTTGAATAATGCTTTGGGATCCTTCACATCCACCTGATGAGGCAGTCGGAGCCTCAGTTTAGTCTCATCCAAAGGACCGCATCTCTGACAATGCAGCTGTCTCCCAAATGCTGTATTATGTCAAGCCTCGCTCACTATCAGCAGAATCACGGAGCTTGGTTTAAAACTGTCACCCATTTGTTAAAAACAACCCAAGCACGGTTTCAGGTTTAAACAGAAATGATATCTGGTGATCGAAGCCGCCCCTAACAGCTCCTCGTCACTGACGCCCCTGAACTTATTTCATATCGTTGCTGTCCATTTACCTTATGACTATCCCCTTTGATTGGATCTGCCCACAAACACAAGGTCAGAACCACAGAGACCAGCTGGAAAACACAAGCGGCTCCAACCCGCCTTGAACTTGCCATCATTTTCCTTCCTTTCCTGCTTCCTTCCCTGGGATTGCAACAATCAGCGGTGAGTCACCTGACACTCAGTCATGTGATTTTCTTGCATTTGGTTTCACCCAAAATACAGAGGGCCCTGAAATCAGTAATATCACTCCAAACATTAGTGCCATCTGCTGGAATAGCAGATTGCAACACTTCAATAAAATAGCCTATGAAATTTACATGAACCCTTTATTGGAGAATTACTTTTGCAGCCTTCAAATACAATGGCCACCTGCCCAGTTTCAAGTTGCACGACCCAGCTTTTCATGGGCCATCCAGAAATCTATGAAATTTAAACTGCCCTCCAAAAGTCTTCTTGTTTTTAACTAAAACTCACTTCTGCGTCTCATGATACAAGACATTAGTTGTTGAGATTTGCTTTGGTTTTCAATTAATTTTAATCAGTCCGTTTTAATCACATTTTACATTCTGTGTAAACGAAAACACAAGATCCGTTAACTTCAAATCCAATAACTAATGCACAAACTAACCACAAAGACGATAATAAGTATTACCCATGCCTGGGTGTCCACTGAACCTTTATCAGTTGTGATACAGAACTGACAATACTCCAGCCAGATTTGCTTTACGTCATGTGACATTTGTATCTTAATGAACCCTGCGGAATAAAAAAAACTATTTGACACACACACAATTGAGCATATTGACTGTCTTATTTTGTCTTTAAACATATATGTACAATGAAAATTGGGAATCCTCAGGTGTACACTTTAAAGAGGTTTGTGCACCAACAGCTAATGGCCTGATGGCCTCTGCCTGCGTTTAGTGCAATGGAGCAGTCAGTGGTGTTTTACATTGGAATTCCAATCCTTGGTCACTTGAAGCTCACACTAATACAAAGTGAACGTTCTCAGATGAGGTATAGATACAGTTGGAGCAACACAAGGAATCTAGCAAATATCCAACCTACCACCACATAAGCTTGGATTGCTCATTAACTGCACTGGATGTTACCAGATTGGTTGCCAACACATTGATAAGTTCATGAAAAATCAATCTAGCGACTTTATCAAATATATTCATAGAATCATAGAACTTTACAACACAGAAGGTCATTTGGCCTATTGTGCCTGTGCCGGCTCTTTGAAAGAGTTACCAGCTAGTCCAACTCTCCTGCTCTTACCCCATAGCCCTGCAAATGCTTCCTTTTTAAGTCCCTATCTAATTCCCTTTTGAAAGCTATTATCAAATCTGCTTCCAACAACCTTTCAGGCAATGCATTCCAGACCGTAACAACTGTCTGGGAAAAGAAAAAATGTCTCCTCATCTCCCCTCAGGTTCTTTTGTCAATTATCTTAAATCTGTGTCCTCTGGTAACCCACCCACCTGCCAGAGGAAACAGTTTCTCCCTATCTACTCTATCAAAACCCCACAGGATTTTGAACTTCCAATTAAAAATCTCCCCTCAACCTTCTCTAAGGATAATAATCTCAGCCTCTCCATATAATTGTAGTCGCTAATTTCTGATATCATTCTTGAAAATCTCTACACACTCTACAAGGCCCTGACATGCTTCCTAAAGTGTGGTGCCCAGAATTGGACACAATATTCCAGCTGAGGCCTAACCGGCGATATGTAAAGGTTCAACATAACTTCCTTGCTCTTATACCCTATGCCTCTATTTATGAAGCCAAGGATACCATATGCTTTCTTACAGATTTGTCAACTTGTCCTGCCATCTTCAAAGATTTGTGGATATAAACCCCCAGGTCTCTCTGTTCCTGCACCCACTTTACAATTGTACCATTTATCTTAACATAAGAAATGCTAGACGAAAAAAGACCAAGGTCCATCTAGTTCGCCTTCCACCTTCCTGGCGGTCGCATGCACATGTGTCCCAAACTACCTATGTACTAGTTCCCATAATGTTATTCCCTGAAAGAAAACCATCTAATCTGTGTTCGAAAGAATCAACACCTGCTGCTTCAACCATCTCCCTCGGACACTATTCGCTCAGTGAAATACTGTTTGTGTAGAGTTGTTCTCAATTTACCCCCTTCAATCGCAGGCCGTGACCTCTGGATTTATGATTCTGGACAAGTTGAAACACCCTGTCATGATCTATTTTGCCTTGCCCCTTTAGAATCTTAATGACCGCAATCATGTCGTCATTCTCTTTACCAAGGTGAACATGTTTAATTTAATTAGTCACTCCTCATAATCCAGTCCTTCCATTCCCTCAATCATTTTGGTTGCCCTCTGCACCTTCTCAATTTCTCCAATATCCTTTTTGTACTGCGGCAACCACAACTGTACACAGTACTGTAAGTATGATCTTACCAATGATTTATACAGTGGCAGTATTTTGGTTTGCTCTTGATACATCCCAACATCTGGTTTGCTTTACTCACTGCCACAGAGTATTGTTGGGAGAGCTTCAATTTATTGTCAATCAGGACCCCAAGGTCCTTTTCATTTTCCATACATATTATTTTCTTTTCATTGAAATAATAGTCCCTTCCAGGATATTTTGTCCCCATGTGAAGCACTTTACATTTCTCCACATTAAATTTCATCTGACACCGATCTGCCCAATTCCCAAATATGTTCATATCGCTCTGTAACCTATCTTGTTCAGCTTTGCAATCTGCCACCTTCATTAGCTTGGTGTCATCTACAAACGGAGCCACTGTGCTTGCAACTCCTAGTTCCAGATCATTTATAAAAATATTAAAAAGAGGTCCCAAAACAGACCCTTGGGGAACTCCACTGGTAACATTTTTCCAGTCTGATGACATTCTCTGTACTACCAGCCTCTGGGTTCTTGCGGTCACCAATTGTGTATCCGTTGTAGTATACCTGCACTGATTCCCGCTTGCTTTACTTTCAATACCAGCCGCTCAAGAGGAACTGTATCAAAGGTCTTACTGAAATCCAGATATACAACATCCACAGCTTTATCCTTATCAAGCTGTCTTATCACACTGTCAAAGAAAACCAGTAAATTAGATTGGTAAGACCTTCCCTGAATGAACCCATATTGGCTATCATTTCCGATTTTATTTCTGTCCAGATGCTCCATGATTTTATCCTTAATAAGTCTCCTTAACTGTACCCACAATGGACATCAAACCTACTGGTCTGTAGTTTCCTGGGTTACTTGTTATCTTTGTTAAAAATAGGAGTAACATCTGCCTTTCTGCAGTCCCCCGGCACCTCTCCAGCATCTTATACATTGCCTTTTCTCATTCCTCTTCCTAAAATGCATCACTTCACACTTCTTTATTTTAAATTCCATCTGCCACGTGTCTGCCCATTTCACCAGCCCGTCTGTCCTCCTGCAGTCTGCCACACACACACACCTAACATAACTGTACACATGTCATTGACAAGGAGTCACTGTCTCTCATTGCTCTTCAGAATTTGATGTCTCTTCGGCACAAAGCTTCAGTTAAAATTCATTTTGGTGATCCAACTAAATTAATGCTTCGGGCGTTCACCACCACTCTATTTATCTAGATCCTTAAGAATGCGAGCTATCACATTCTAAGATCAAGTACTCCTTGCAGAAATAAACACTGTGTTGCCATCTGCAGCTGCAAGGATCTATTTTTTTGGTGCATATCTACGTGACTGGAATAGGCTTAAAAAAATTTCCTTGAATAATCCCTTCAAAAAAATAATAATTTGGTCACTCAATCCACGAGTGTTTGTGGGACACTGCTGTGCGCAATTGGCTGCCGGGTTTCCCCTACAAAATTTACAGTAAATTAACTTTATAGTATATTCTGTGAAGCGCTTTGAGACCACGAAGACGTGACAAGGCGCTTTATCAAACGTAAGGATTATTATATTATTATAGACTTCTCTGCTAAAGAATCATTTTCTTTACAGATTATTTTGCATATAAAATTCATCATTTCACTCCATCAAGGACTTTAGCAACATTTTTGTGAGCACCTACAGGAAGGTTAGTGTTTTGTCTCCACCACCATCTCAATATCAATGAATGTTCTGCAATTTGGAAACAGATTAGTCTTCTTCACATCTTTCCGCTGAAGGACAGATGGAATGAAACAAAGTTTTTTTTTATTATTATTACATGCCAGAGCAAAGCTGAATACATTGCAAAGCCACCATGTGCCCGAAGAGATCCAGCAGCCCTTTACTGCTCCACATTCTTGACTCGCAGTACGACAGGTACAGAGGTACAGGGAATCATGCCCAAGTCTGTGATTACTAAGTCAACAAAGTCAGGTGGCGTCACATCGTAGACCAGGTTGAGAAGATGAAGGTTGGAATCCGTTTGCCAATTCTCCAGGTGGTTAATTCCTTTCCGGGTTACCAATAGGTCATCGGGGTCATCTGTAATTGATAAATTGTAAACCATGATTCTGTCACTACTAATAAATGCAAAGTTGAGCATAAGTCGTTAATGGAATAGAACACAATGGAAACAAACACCCATTCTTTGTAACATAATTTAAATTAGATTGCAAATATGCAGGTGCAGCTGTAAACCAGGGTACTTTTGGTTTTGAGGAATCTTTTATGCTCATCAGTGAGAGAATCAAGTGTTGGCTAGCTGAACATATTTTCTACTTAGTGTCAGATGCAAAGTGACACTTCCTCTATTTTGTCTCAACAATTTGTCCTATCCTCAATCTCAAAAGAGGGCTGGATTTGAACACAAGCACTAAAAGAGAGTTTGGTGAGCTATCTCAGCGAGCCAGCAAGACCTAATGCAGGTGCTTCTGAAGATGCTGTAAACCAAATCAAACTGTGGGACACTCTTCCCTGGGGGGCACAGGTTGTGTGCCTCCCATCAGTCCCAGGTTTTGTGGGGCTAGTCATCTTGCACATCCCCACAGTTCACTAAGACAACACTAGAAAACAAAAAAATTATAATCTGCAAGAATACGAGCAACAAAGTAGAAGGGCTTTGATTGATACATTTACAAATTTACAATAAGAGTTTGAGTGTCAAAAGCACCAATTCTACTTCACAAAGCAGACTTCATGCTATCCCAAGGCTCTAGTCAAAAACAGCACAAATTGCAGCATACAAAAAACATAACTGCACAAATACTCCAGGAAATCATACCAAACAACTGCAGACCATGTCAGTGCAATATCTATCGGGCGCATCCCATCAACATTAGGAATGAACTTGTTCCCCCACCCCTCCCACCTTTCAGCTCTCGCCAAATCCAACTTGTGTGCCCAGCCAGCTGTTAAAGAGCTTTGAGACATCTTCCTGACATGAAAGGCACTATACAAATGTAAATGGTATTGGTATGTATCCAATTGTACAATTATTTAAAAAGATAATAAATCCAAACTTACCCAATTCGTTCAATACAAATGAATCTGTCTGAACTCTTTCACAAAACTTGTGCGTTTCACAACACACCAGGACTGGGACGTTATACGCTTTGGCCACCAATGCTATCTGTGACGTCCCCACACGCGACATCACATAACCGTTGGCTAGTAGAGCATGCGCTCCCAGGAACACTTTGGAAACCTGTGTGGAAAATTACAATGAGGAGTTGATTGGAAACTATGAAACAACCTGATACCACATCAAAGTCCAAATTTACTATTTGAGAGTTCATTGAACTTCTTGCAGAAAAAAATTAAAATCCCCTTTTTATATCTTTTCCTCCACATCAATTAGGACCTGTAATTTGCAGAGACCAAAACCTACATGTCCTATTTGGACCACATGATATTAACTCTATTTTAAGCTTTGTGCTCTACCTAGAACTATCATTTGACATTTGTTGAGCATTGTGAGAATTGCTGCTAGTCCTTTGAATGTCGCTATATTTTAAATTTATATATAATTTGTCAACCCCAATAGGGCTAGCAATGATGCTAGTGTCAAGATTGTTTGCAGTTGTAATGGGAACTTTGATATTGTAATGCAACAAGTACAATGGTTGAAAATGTTAGTCTTTCATCTCCACATCTTACTCTTAATCTTAAGCACAATTTAAATGCACAACAGCATGTGAATATTAATTAATACATTACTCTGGTCTTCAAAGCAGAATTATGAAACAAAATGTATGGGCTCAAGGAAATGATCTAGTTACAATATCTGCATTTCCATACCTTCCTAGAGGGCAAGCAATTTTAAGCCTTGCTAAGCCAAGTAGTTACAGGTATTTTGAAATCAGGCTGAAATATCTGAAAGCGGTATTTACTCTGTTACTGGTCACGTCTATGTGAACCATACTAAAAACGAGGCCTGAAAACTAACATTTGCCTTGTATTAAGGAGAACAAACCAACAGCTTTATCTCCATTCTAAGATAAGGTACAATCCAGCCTCAACAGCTCAGTGACCCTCCCAAACAACATTTGGATAAGGCCAAAGGGAATCGTTTAACAAACACGCATATTTAAAATAAAAACCACATAGAGCAATTTTGGTCAGCTGACACATGCAGAAACCCATCACCGTGCTTAAGAGTATCCAAACCAAACTGAGAATTCAATGCATCCCACCTACACATGGAAGTCCCAGAGATAGATTGTTGGAAATAAACGCGTACTCTCTAACCAGAGGGACGCATTCTGCTTATACCTAATACCAGAAAGTATTAGGCGCAGGTGGGTAAGAGCCAAGGCTTGGGGACCCCAGAGTGTGTGTTGAGTCTAACCAGGTAAAACCACAGAGCTTGCCATTGAAAGGAGGTTAATACGTTCAGCCACCTCTGCCCCGTCCACAGCCACCCCCACATCACCTCTCCCTTATAACCCACTCCCCACCCATTCCCCCCATACTCCTTCGACCCTATCTCTCCCTCCTCCCTCACCACGACTGTCCGCAAACTCAAACCCACCACCTGCTCCCTCGATCCCATCCCCACCTCTCTCCTCATCTCCCAGCTCCACCTTCTGGACCCTCTCCTGTCCGACGTCATCAACCTCTCCTTGTCCACCGGTTCAGTTCCCACACCCCTAAAAACAGCTGTCACCACCCCCATCTTGAAAAAACCTTCTCTGGATCCATCCCTCCTCTCCAGCTACAGCCCCATCTCTAATCTCCCATTCCTCTCCAAGGTCCTGGAATGAGTGGTCATTCCGCTCATTTTTCTCGCCATTCCCTCTTTGAACCCCTCCAATTCGGCTTCCGCACTGCCCACAGCACGGAAACAGCCCTGGTCAAAGTCACTGATGACATTCTGAACATCTGATCCGGGCTACCTCTGCCTCCTTGTCCTCCTCGACCTCTCTACCGCATTCGACACTGTCGACCACTCCATCCTCTTACACTACCTTTCCTCTACACTTAACCTTCACGGACCTGCCCATGCCTGGTTCGATTCCTATCTCTCTCACCGTCTCCACTTTGTTGCCTCTAACGGTTTCTCCTCCAGCCCCTGCATTGTCACGTCTGGTGTCCCCCAGGGCCCTGTCCTTGGCCCTCTCCTCTTTAATATCTATATGCTCCCCCTTGGTGACATCATCTGCAGACATGGGGTCAACTTCCACATGTATGCGGATGACACCCAACTCTATCTTTCTGCCTCCACCCTCAACTCCAGGACCACTGCTGTCCTGACAGATTGCCTCAGCACCTCAGGCTCTAGCAGCATCAACCTCCATGGTTGCACACTTCAATTCACCAAACCAGTCAGGAACCTAGGTATCTTGTTCGACCCTCAACCGTCTTTTCTTCCCGTCATCTAAGCCATGACCCGCTCCACCTTCCCTCACTTCTGTAATATCGCCCGACTCCACCACTACCTCACCCTTCAGGCCGCTGAAACTCTTGTTCATGCCTTCATCAACTCCAGGCTCGACTATGCAAACGCCCTGCTTGTCGGCCTTCCGAACTCCTCCCTCCACAGGCTGCAGATAATCCAGAACTCTGCAGCCCGTGTCCTCTGCCGACCCAAACTCCGTGACCCCATCTCCCCCATTTTCGCCCGACTCCATTGGCTCCCTATCCTTCAGAGAATCCAGTTCAAGATCCTGGCCCTCACATACAAAGCCCTCCGTGGCCTCTCCCCACCCTACCTCTGTGACCTCCTAACCCCCTACCAACCCGCCCGCTCCCTCCGCTCAGCCGGCTCTGGCCTGCTCCACGTCCCCCGACCTATCTGCCTCACCACTGGTGGGAGAGCCTTCAGCCACTCTGCCCCCAACCTCTGGAACTCCATCCGCCAATCACTCCGCTTCTCCCCCTCCTTAGCCTCCTTCAAGTCCCGCCTCAAGACCCTCCTCTTCGACCATGCCATCGGCCACCCCCCTTCCCCTCCCCTCTCCCTGACTGACCCCTGCTGGGGTCTGAAATGCTGTACACTGTCCTCCCAATGTGAAAGGCGCTTATCAAATGTAATCTTGTTGTTGTTGTAAAGAGAACTTCAGATATTTGATTTTAAAATCCTACTAGTGATTCCTGTAAGTAGAGTTTTCTACTAAAAGAATAAACAAATAAGCAAAGGAAAAAATCTTAAATTCACACCTCAGGCAGAATGTAGGAGACGGCAGTGATCAGCACATAGGTGCAGCGAATGCCAACCCGTACTAATCTGCGTAGCGTCTCTCTTCCTTCCAGTTTAGGTCGGCTGTCCACAACCACAACCCTGAAGCTTTTCCCCTTGTGGGCATCACAGAGAATGGTATTGACTAAAGATGAGCTGAAGGAATGAACAAGCAAGCAAAAAATTAAGTTGACCACGTTAAAAGAGAAAATGCAATTTTTCTTGAAGGAACTGCTGAGATGTGTCAAGGTTGTCATTTTTGTAATCTTGCAAAAAGTACATTTTATTTGTACAAATAACATTGAAAGATACAATGGAAAGGAGGAATGCAGTCATTTTGTTTTTAAGTAGACCTAATTGGCTTGGATCTGACAAAAAACATTTTCAGTTTTTATTTTATCGGTTAGTTTCCTCTTTTCCACATTCCCCCAACCTCCGGAGGACACTGGCAGGATGTCAATCCCAGACTTCCCATTGTTACCCCTTATAGCAAGTTACGAAGCAGAACAATGAAAATGTGACTGTGCTGAGTGTTGGAGCAGAAATGCACAGTGTGCAGGATTCAGATTTGATTCTGTACACCAACAATTCTCTCTGGTCGGAAACTAAAAGAATTTTAAAAAGGAACAAGACAAGTTCCTGTTAACTAAAAGGATTTAAGGTTATTAGATGTAGAGATAGCTACATAAATGGAATTGTGAGGTTACTGGACTGGTTGACTCGACACCGACTCTCGCCTGAAGTTACTACTTCGTCCCTGATCTAAGCCATGCTGACCACAGGTGGTGAGTTTCAGAGTGAAGGGGACAAAAGAAAAACCAGGCTAGGTTATTTTAAAATTTATCTGAAACATAAAATACAGTATACCCACAATGTACATAACAACAACAACAAGATTCCATTTATAGAGTGCCTTTCACGTCGGGAGGACATCCCAAGGCATTGTACAGTTGGGTCAGGACCTGAGCAGGGGGAAATGGTCAGGGTGAGGGGAGGGAGGGAGCGAGGAGGGGGTAGAGAGTCGAGAGGGGAGCTGAAGGCACGGTCAAAGCGAAAGGTCTTGAGACCGGCCTTGAAGGAGGAAAGGGAGGAAGCAAGGCGAAGGCACTGGGGGATAGAGTTCCAGAGCCTGGGGCCTGAGAGGCTGAAGGCCCGGCCACCGATGGTAGGGCGGTTGGGGCGGGGGACGTGGAGCAGACCGGAGCCAGAGGAACGGAGGGTACGGGCAGGTAGGTAGGGGGATAGTAGGTCGGAGAGGTAGGAGGGAGCAAGGCCGTGAATGGCCTTGTAGGTGAGGATGAGGATCTTGAATTTGATCCTCTGGGGGATGGGGAGCCAGTGGAGGTGAGCGAGGGTGGGAGTGATGTGGTCCCGAAGCCTGGTGCAGGACAGTACACGAGCTGCAGAGTTCTGAATGACCTGCAGCTTGTGGAGGGAGGTGGCGGGAAGGCCGGCGAGGAGAGAGTTCCCATAGTCCAGCCTTGAGGTGATAAAGGCGTGGACCAGAGTTTCAGCAACGTGAGGGGTGAGGTAGTGCCGTAGTCTGGCGATATTCCGGAGCTCTGGAAGACTCACAGGTTTCTAAGCAGGTATGACTATTGGAATTAGTATCTAAACTCTGATCAGTTTCAATCTGCAACCAATGCCTTTCCTTGTGTTTTTAAACAAATGACAACAGGATCATAGAATCATAGAAACACAGGAGGCCATTCGGCCCATCATGCCTGTGCTGGCTCTTTTGAGTCCCACTCCCCCGCTCTTTCCCAATCGACTTGCAATCTTTTTTTTTCCTTTTTAAGTACATATTCAATTCCCTTTTCAAAATTATTACTGAATCTGCACCACCCTTTCAAGCAGTGCTTTCCAGATTCGCTGCATTAACAATTTTCTCCTCGATTCCCCTCTGATACTTTTACCAATTATCTTAAATCTATATCCTCTGGTTACCGACCCACCTACCAGTGAAACAGCTTCTCCTTATTTGCGCTATCAAATCCACTTCTATTAAATCTCCCCTTCATTGCTCTAAGAACAATCCCAGCCTCCCTAATCTCTTGAAGACAATTTGTCAGATATCTCACATCGAGAGTATAACTCACCATCCATATACCAGAATCACGTCACCGTCGTTAATTTTCCCAGAGGCAGATTTTGATATAGCTTCAGCAGCCAGGCTAATCTTCTCATCCACATACTTATCGATGCTGTTTAATAACTTCGCTTTCGCCTAAGAGAAGATAAATAGCAAAGCAATTCCATGTTTGAGCACCATGTTTACTACGTTAAAATGCATTAACACAGGTATGAACAGGGCAACCAGATGCATAATTCCCCATTAGTAGATAGTCCAAGCCTGTTGCAGGGGTGTCCAAGCTCACTTTGAACACTGCAGATTTTTTTTTAAAAAAAGGGATTTTTAAAATATATATTTTTATGCTGGAAGGAGGCAGGAGCGACTCAAGTCCCAGAGTAGGTCCTGCTCTTGTCATAGGGAGCAGAGAAACAACAGGATACATTTTTGGCGAAGTCTATAAATATCTTGGGGTCATGAGGACTTAGGATTCCTGCTGAAGCCACTGTTACCACTGGAGATGGGCGGATAAGAGGTAAAGAGCAGAACATCACAAATGTTAATATTCATTACCTGAGGCTGAAATACCACAGAGATCAGTAGCAGCCAGCAGTTCAATCCAGAGAGCAAATGAGAATGAAAACAGAGGCAATGCAGCTCCAAAAAAGCCTTAATAATATCATTAGCCAGGACAAAGGAGCAGAGATGAAAACAGAGAGCAAATTCCCACAAACTGACTTCCTCAAATTTACTGGGGCGTTCTTAAGGCAGATCCTTTCAACTATCATTAAATGCCACATCTGTGGAGACCTGTGGCTCAGTGGTTAGAGTACTCGCTTTGCAAGCGAGAGACCTGAGTTCAATTCCAGGCAGAACGAAACCTTGGGCAAGTTTCCTTACTCCACACATCTAATAATAATCCCTCCAAAACCAAAAACAATAATAAATTGGTCATTTTCAATCTACGACTGTTTGTGGGACATTGCTGTGCGCAATTGGCTGCCGCGTTCGCCCACAAATATACAGTCAATTCACTTTACAGTGTCTTCTGTGAAGCGCTTTGGGACGTCCTCCCGACGTGAAAAGCACTATATCAAATGCAAGGATTATTATTATTATTATTATTATTATCTGCTCTACTGGAAGAATTGTGTCATTTTTGCAAACCACAATTCTTGACAAAATTAGACTTCATGGGTCTAGATTGACTTCCACACTTGCTTTACCAGATCAATTAACCAATCATTACACAATCCCTAAATTTATCCAAGCCGGATGTCATATTCAGGTCCAGCAGCCTGGAAGGTGGAGGAAGGGGAATGTTGTGCTCACTGTGCCTTTTAAAACATCCTACGTTTTTTTNCCTCTCCAGTCAAATAAACACAAAAGCAGAGCAAATGTTGCCCCTGGGGGAAAATGCTAACATGGAGTACTGTATATAAGTAAACGTGCAGTTTTATTTTATAAGTCCATGAAACTATCAGAGATGAGTGAGGGAATCAGGCAATTCGCAGCACAACGCTGGTTTTCAAGTTTACAAAGAAAGCTCTAAGCTTAACTTATTCTAAAGCGGTTTAATAAAGAGAATGTAGGTTACAATAATTAGCACACAACTGAGAATCAATAACTTGTTTAAGCTACTGCTGGCAAAGTGTGCAAAAAATAATCAGAGGATGGTTAACACCCCAATTGCCCCCCCCTCCCCCAACTGCTGCCCATTTCCTTTTGTCAGCACTGAATACAACATTAATTTGTGTGCTTCATTCATTACTAATGCAAGAAATATTCACTTGAACGGGCAGTGCACTGACCCACAAATATCACCGTTCACATTTGTGTTGCTGTTCCCCCTCTGACCTGTGCAGCATTAATCCAGTTTATCGCACAATGGGATATCAAGCATCAGCTCAGCCCATGTACAGAGCTTTATTCTTTTGCTGGGATGTGAATTTTGTCCGCCTAGCTCAGCCTCATTTCGCACTTTCGCCTCTGGGACAGAAGGTTGTGCATCCGATCCCCATGTCGGAGACTTTCAGATTACAGTGTAGATTATCACTTCAATGCAATGTTACAAGACAGTTGCATTGTCGGAGCTTCTGTCTTTTAGTTGAAACATTTAAACCAATGTCCAGTCTGTCTTTTCAGATGTACGCTAAAGATCCTATGAAACGACTCGAAAAATAAAGGAAGTTTCTCCTATGTAACCTGGCTAATAACCCTCCACATAGAATTGGTCATTCATTTCACCACTGTTTGTAAGACATTGTTGTTCGCAAATCGGCTGCTGCATTTGCCTATAAATGCAAAGTAACTGCACTTCAATGCTATACAAAAGAATTCTGTGAAGCATTTCAAGACAATTTTGACTTTATAGAACCAACATTGGACAGGTTTGGATTATTTGGTATAATTTTTATATTTATGAAAATGAGGGATATTAGGCCTAAGCACTGGAACAAATTTTACACGTGTATCAATCCATGCTGGTGTTGAGCATTCACAGATAAGACACAGCAAAGGCTGATTCAAAGCTCTTTCTATTGTCATGAGTAACAATTTCGCAGCCCAATACTGAGTGTTATTTCACAAGACAGAAAGCAGATAATTCATGTGTATAAAATGGCCGAAGACTGTTCACACCTCAAACTCTTATAGCCTCAGTGGCTAAATACTCCACAAACATGCCTTTAGATATTTATCCTTTCCTTAGCAGAAAGAATAATTTTCAGGAAAGTGAGAAAAGTGCCAACGTAAACAAAGAATACAGAAACATCGTCATTTATTTTGGAGAAATTAGAGCTAAACCAGTTAAAAGTAGAAAAAAAATTTCCACACAATGTGGAATTCACATCACAAATGGGTACTGATACTAGGTCAATTAAAATATTTAAGAGGGAGGTAGATGAATATTTGATGGGCAAGTATATCAAGGGATATAATAAAAAAGCAGGGAAATGGTATTTGATTGCAAACCAGCCATGATCTAATATAAGGGTGGAACGGACTAACTGGTCTGTTCCTGGCCCTACTTAATATACAAAGATTTAAAAATTCTGGCACTTGATATAATGTCTTTCACAATGAGGATGACCTCATTGAAGATTTAATATATTTAGCACTTAAGATATTGTATTTTGTTCTTAGGCGCACATATAATCAGTTCCTTGGTAATGACAATATAGTTCGTCTATTTGGTCTATTGTCAAGAATGCCTCAAAACACTTCAAAGCTTTTCTGTGAAGCTGCGATTGTGTATTTATAGACGAGCACAGCAGTCAATTTACACACATCAATGCCCTGCAAGCAGCCATAAACTGAATGACCAATTTAATTTGGGGAATTATTGACAAGGACACCAGGAGAAAATCCCTTCTCTTTTTGAATAGCGCCATGAATCTTTAACATGTACCTGAACAGGCAGATTGGTTTAATTTCTCATCCGAGAGATGACACCTCAAACAATGCAGCCCTTTTCTCCACTCAACACCTCCCTAATTGACGTGAAAGATCTTTCAGGAACGTAGCATCATGATCATGTTTAGGTTGATTTCAGAAGACTATACGTGGCTTGCAGGTGCTGAGTGACAAGTTACTGAGATTTGATGATAATTGGATCTATTTTTCCACTCAAGTGAAGCTGCACAGAAAACAAAGTCAATTCCCATAGAATTTTCTGTATCTTGTAAATTTAAAGACAACGGTACATTGCAAATGTACGGATTGTTCTCTTCTCTAATTTCTGAAACAGTAGATAAGGTATCAGAATATAGGCACAAGATCAATCTTTTCCTAACCAGTATCATGAAAATAAGCTTTTAAAGAAAAACACTGATCCAAAATGCCAAATATGCCATCAAGCGACAGAAACAGTCGACCACATATTCTGATCATGTTTAGCCTTAGTGCTGTCAGAGTACCTGAATCAACATAACAATGTAGCTAAATATGATTTACTGGACAACTTGTAAACACTTTAACATTGACCTCCTGGTATGAACATCAACCAGCAAACGTTACATCAAAATGTAACATCACAATAACCTGGGACTCACAAGTGCATACAGTTTTAGAACAGTACAATTAGAATAGTCTGTTATAAACCAAATATCAAATTATCTGATACTCGAGAGCAGGAATGGCCAACACGTTATTATTGTATGAATGCCTGCATAATGCGGCCCGCGGGCCACGAGTTGGCCACCCCTGCTCCAGAGAAAGACACCAAGGAGCAGCACAGGTCTAACAAATCAGAAATTTGCGACCTCAAATCCAATTCTACGCGAATTCACCGATAATATAATAATCCTTGTATTTGACAGAGCACCTTTGTGTTGGGAGGACGTCTCAAAGCCCATGAAAGGATTTACCTGTAAAGTGGATTGACTATATTTTTGCAGACAAACGTGGCACTCAATTTGCACACAGCAATGTCCCACAAATAGCCATGAAGTAAATAGATTTTTTATCTGAGGAATTGCGGCCAGGACACTGGGAGAAACTCCCCTCTCTTTTGGAATAGTTCCACAGGAACCTTAATGTCCACCTGAACAAGTAGATGGGACCCCCGTTTAACGTCTCATGTGAAGGACGGCACGTCTGACAATACAGCACTTCACTAGCAAGAACACCATCTTTCAAGAGTGAGTATGAAGTGTGAAAAATACAGACTCACCTCATCCTCCCTTGTGTTGCTGGAAATATTCGAGATCTCCTTCTTGATGAACTTGATTGCGTTTCCCATGCTTGCAGAGAGCGGGCGACATTGATGTAGAAAACTGCAGACAGACAAAGAAAAAGTGTATCAAGAGGAGATACCCGGGCCACCACCTGAGAGCAGTTAACAACAGGGATAGTATTTCTGTGACTAGTCTAGCACAGGAATTTTTTTTCTTTTATATGTGCTGGTAAATAATCCACAAGCCTTCTGTACATCACCTACCAAGCGGTTGTTTTTCCCAACTAAGCCAACAGGGAAGGAAGAAACCACTGTATGTATAAATTGCAATGTATTGGACTTGTCCAATTCTGAACTATGGCAACAAAATACCTGACTTTCCAAAATCGCCCTACCCATTAGAGTTAAAAACAAAGTTCCACCTACAAGTCAGGATTGGATTATCACATACCTGCCTAGATTTGCCAGGTGCATTTCCTTGGAGACCAGCTATCACTTAACTTACTTGTCAGGATTCATACCCAGTACCTTCCAGGAAGCTAAGAGATGACTAGCAGAAGAAACCATTCACTCTGTTCACTTTGCAAAACGAAAAAACTTAGATTTATACATCGCCTTTCAGGTCGGAAGGACATTTCTAAGTGTTTTACACAGCTGATTAGGAGACTGAGCTCCTGGATGGAGGGAAGATGCCCAAAGCATGGTTGAAGAGATAGATCTTCGAGCGGTTTAACATTTCATTCCTGCAGTACTGGTAATTTAAACAGTTTAAACAAATGTAACAATACCTGATGTCTGGTTTCAGCTTGTTGACCAAGTCTCTCGACAACTCTTCATTAGGAGCAGTTGTGTAATCACGAATAATCTGAAACAGGACACGTTAGTTAAAAAATTCCATCAATAAGGAAATTACACTATGGTTAGCCAGCAGGAATACCACAAGCAACATTATTAGACACTAGCACCAATTGCCACCACTCCAGATTCATTTTAAGATCCTTAGTGTTCTAAATATAATTGTTTCAAGGTTGGCGTTACCTTAGTGACAGGCTGGAATAAATAAAATTTAAAGCACCACAAACTGGGGATCCCTTGTTGGTCTAGTGTTTAAAGCTACTGCCAGTGGACACTATGATATATGACACTGTACAATGTGCTGAGTTAGCTGATCTCAGTTGTTGAAGCACTATAATGAACCTGCCACTACCCACACAGCCTTTGCCAGACTCCAGATTAACTTTTCTAGCATCCTGTCTACCTCCACCATCCAGAACACCATAACCCACATTCTTTCATACCAGGCTCTACAAACCACGCCCAATCTTAACCGGCTCTACTGCCTCCCTATCCTCTAGAGGATCATCTTTAAGATCCTCCTCTTTACCTTGCCTTATTGTACCTCTGATCTCTTGCAACCTAATTCTACTGATACTGACGTTTCCCCACCAACTCTGACTTGCTTCATGCCCTGTGCCCACTCCACCATTGGCTGATGAGCTTTCAGATACTTTGCCCCCACCCTCTGGAATTCTTCACAAATGTCTCTGCCTCATCCCCTCTCTTCGGTTTTGAAAACCTGACTAAAATCCTGTGCCATTGACTGTGCTTTCAACACCTTCCTCTCCTGTCTCCCTTTCAGTGTGAACTCCCACTCAGTCTTTGTAATCCACTTTGAGATGTTCTCCCACTGGAAAGGCTCTATATCATTGCAAATTATTTATTTTTTTAGCAACCTCTGGGACACAAAGATTTTTCCTCTCACCAACATCTTCCCAATCAAGGTTGAACCCACCTCCCATCCTGAGCCACAGCATAATGTGGGCATAACTGGCAACACAGAATTCTCCCCGAGGGGCAATAAAATAGTGTGTGAAGTGGAAACTCCATTCTAATGCAGGCACGACTGCTTGTCTCTGAAGTTTACGAATCAGATTTTTGCTTGCAGAAGCAGCTCTGAATTGAATCTGATCATGGCTTGCAAATCTGCTTTTGGGTGAAAAATAAGTTCCAATCCTCAGCAAACAGAGGTGGAACAAAAGAGGAGCCCTGTGTGTCCAATCTCACAAATTTAAATGTCACAATTTATTTGAGCTCACTTTACAATCTCACTCAGCTATCGGGATAGATCAAAGGAAAAACACTTGCGCAGGCAAAATAAAATTGTTTGCGGTTTATATCATAAAGACAACAATAACAACAACTTGCATTCATATAGTAATCCTCACGCAAGGTAGGGTCCCAAAGCGTCCCAGACCAATGGTGTTACAGAGGATGTAAATTCACTGTACATTGTACCTGTTTGAAAGCGTGTAGTAAGGCTATGCATCGAGCATTGGATCCGGTGATAATGCCCTGAGAATATTGCAGTCCTAGGCGTACAATAGCAGGATGAAGCACAGTTGAGGGGATTCTAGATACAATCAGATCAGAGAGTGAATTGTGCAATTGAAGCAGATTGTATTTGGACAATAATAAACAAAAAGGCTTACGTGCAATATCACAGGATTACAAGTTTGGTCTGGATGAAGAAGGCCCATCGGCCCACATCTCCCACTGCATCAGACTGCTTTTTAAATTAGTCGAGTCTGGCCTCTACCACTTTTCCTGGCAACCTGGTCCAGTCATTGTATTAATAAAAAAAATCCTGATATCTCTCCTGAATTTGCCCTTAAAAATTCTAATCCTGTGTCCTCTTGTTCTACTGTTTTGATACATCCTAAAGTATTGACCTGGGTTCACTTTTTCAATCGTTGCTCATAGCTCACGACACAAGTTTGTTTGTTTTTTGGCCAGAGGTGAAGCAGCTTCCTGAAAAAATTAACATTCTAAGCCCCCAACATCTCATTCACTGTTCTAATCACATCCTATTCCTTGTTGACAAATATATTAATAAACCTTCAAACTGTTTCTGGTGTAATATCTAAAAAAAATTATATTAAAATGTGTGTGTGGGCGCGAGGGGAGGAGTCAGGTCCGGCGAGTCAGAATTTGACCAAAAGTAATTATGAAGCCGGCAACTGCATTTACTGGATTTTCAATGCCAAAAATGCCAGTAAATGCTGGTATCGGGATTATAATTATAAGCTATCATCTGCTCACAGATTCAAACAATCTGAGTCAAATCAATTCCCTGGCACTGAAGGTCAGCAAGCACGGTGAGGCAGGGGTTAGGAGAGAGGCAGGTGGGAGTCTGCAAGATCTAGTGGAATCTTTTTTTTTAATCTTAGTGTACGGTCTGGCTAAGTACGAATGGCAGATACTCAGAGTCCGGGAAGCTGGGGTTTACTCTATTGTGTCAAGTTCAAACTTTTTTCAAACGGGGCTAAAAAAGTGTAAGTCTTCATCCACTGTGGTCAGAAAACACAATTAAAATTCAGAATTGCATAGGTTTAACAACAACGACAAGATGTATTTGTATAGCGTCTTTCACGTCAGGAGGACATCCCAAGGCGCTGGACAGGGTGCAGCACTTCAGACCCGAGCTGGGGTCGAGGGGGGGGGGGGGGGGGGGGTGCAAAAGGAGGGGAGGTGGCCAATGGAATGGTCGAAGAGGAGGATCTTGAGAACGTAAAAACATAAGAACATAAGAATCAGGAGTAGGCCATTCGGCCCCTCGAGCCTGCCCCACCATTCAATAAGATCATGGCTGATCTATTCTAACTCTACCTACCCGCCTTATCCCGATATCCCTTTATCCACAAGAAATCTATCAATCTCAGTCTTGAACATGTTCAAGGGCTGAGCATCTACAGCCCTTTGGGATAGAGAATTCCATAAATTCACTACCCTCTGAGTGAAGAAGTTTTTCCTCAACTCAGTGCGAAAGGGCTTACCCCTAATAGTAAGACTGTGACCCGTCAGAGGGCTGGATGAGCGCAAACTTCCTTCAGCTGAACGTTGACAAGATGGAAGCCATACTCTTTCGCCCTCGTCAACGTCTAAAATCTCACAGCTCTCACCTCCTCCGACCCCCCACCTAAAACTCTCTGAACCCGTACGCAACCTAGGTGTCAGGTTCGACCCCCAATTATCCTTCCTTCCCCACATCCGGTCCCTCACCAGCACCGCTTTCTTCCACCTCGCCCGTCTCAGCCAATACCTCTCCCCAAAAGCCGCTGAAACCCTGGTCCATGCTTTTGTCACCTCTTGGCTGGACTACTCTAACGCACTCCTCGCCAGTCTCCCCTCCGCTACCATCCATAAAATCCAAATCATTCAAAACTCTGCCACCCACATTCTCACCCGCACAAAACTTCACTCCCCGATCACCCCAGTCCTTACCAGACTGCATTGGCTGCCTGTCCCAGAGAGGATCGACTTCAAGATCCTCACCCTTGTATTCAAGTCCCTGCACTCCTCTGCATCCCCCTACCTCTCTGACCTCCTCTCTTCTCAAAACAGTACCCGTTACCTTCGCTTCTCTGGGTCTGGCCTCCTCCTCGTCCCCCGAGTCCTCCACTCCACCCTCGGCTCTCCTCTCTGTGGCTGGTACCCCCACTGCTAAATCTCGGGCCCGCCCCTCGCTCTCGTGCCTCTGCTCCTGACTCTTGAGGCGGGACTTGAAGGAGGCTGAGGAGGGGGCGAGGCAGAGTGACTGGGGGATGGAATTCCAGAGGTTGGGGGCCGAGTGGCTGAAGGCTCTCCCGCCAATAGTGGGGCAGGTGGGTCGGGGGACGTGGAGCAAGCCAGAGCAGAGGGAGCGGGCAGGTTGGTAGGGGGTTAGGAGGTCGCAGAGGTAGGGTGGGGTGAGGCCATGGAGGGCTTTGTATGCGAGTACCAGGATCTTGAATTGGATCCCCTGAAGGACAGAAAGCCAATGGAGTCGGGCGAGAGTGGGGGAAATGGGGTTGCGGAGTTTGGTGCGGGAGAGGACACGGGCTGCAGAGTTCTGGATTATCTACAGCCTGTGGAGGGAGGAGTTGGGAAGGCCGACAAGCAGGGCGTTTGCATAGTCGAGCCCAGAGGTGATGAAGACATGAACAAGAGTTTCAGCAGCCTGAGGGGTGAGATAATTGAGAGTCGAACAAGACCTGACTGGCTTGGTGAGTTGTAGTGTGCAACCATGGAGGTTGATGCTGTCAGAGCCTGAGGTGCTGAGGCAGTCTGTCAGGACAGCAGTGGTCCTGGAGTTGAGGGTGGAGGCAGAAAGATAAGAGTTGGGTGTCATCCGCATACATGTGGAAGTTGACCCCATGTCTGTGGATGATGTCACCAAGGGGGAGCATGTAGATATTAAAGAGGAGAGGGCCAAGGACAGAGCCTTGGGGGACGCCAGATGTGACAGTGCGGGGGCTGGAGGAGAAACCGTTAGAGGCAACAAAGTGGAGACGGTGAGAGAGATAGGAATCGAACCAGGCAAGGGCAGATCCGTGAAGACTGAGTAAAGTGGAGAGGCAGTGTATGAGAATGGAGTAGTCGACAGTGTCGAAGGCGGTAGAGAGGTCGAGGAGGACAAGGAGGCAGAGCCATCAAGATAAGTGGTGTCTCCCTGGAGCTGAATTCTCTCTAAAGAAATGTGCTTGGCAAAGCCAGACATGTCTGCAGTAAATCGGGTCACCATTGACAGTAGAAAGCTTGCTTTGCTCATTAATTAAGCGTTGGCATGGCAAGCATATCCTAATCTAATGAGTCAAATTTCTAATGGATCAAGGTGGACCTAGCTAGACAAGTATTGTGTGGCATGGTTACCTATTTATAGCTGTTGAAAAGTTCTCCTGTAGCACCTGAAAGCTGAACATCTGTATATAGCACTGTGTAGGTAGGTGCAATCCAATATTACTCAATTTATAGTGGAATGTCTAATTCAAAACCTTCCTCTATTAATCTGAGTTTGTAGTCATTTACATGCATGTTCTTGCTTTCATGTTACTGCTTAACCTAAACCATATTTTAAAAGAACACCTCACAGCAATAAAAACAACTTTTATATATTAAAAAAGAACTCACGTCAGCTGCTGTGTCAGGGGCATTTTGCGGCTGTATTGGTGCAAGTGTGAAAAGAGAACGACTTTGCTGCCAAAATCTTGCCGGAGTGGAACCTGCAAGACAACAATAGAAATATTAGAGAGATCAGTTTACTAAGTAAATACAATAAACTTCACAAATCAAACCCACACACCAGCACCTCCAAACAGAGCACAAGCACTCGCCACTTCAAGGCTGCTGAAAATTAATTATTTAAGAAACCAATTTGTACAAGGTCATTCAAGTATGCACTGTGCTCTCTTCAAATTCCTTGAAGCTTGTACTAACGCTGAGATGCACTGAATATTGCATTTTAATTGCCTGGATTTTCTTGCCTTTGCGAAAACCACCAGTGCACTAACCTGCGAACATTCACGCTATATTGTGTGCAGAGTATGGGGAATTCTGTGTCGGCCCAGAAGCACATAATTGGGGCAGAGTTGAGGGAGCTTTAGATAGAAAAAAATGTTCCCAACACTTATCCTTCACCTGAATGGGCAGAAATTACATAGTGTTGCACAACTGAATAAAGATCATTGCAGCCCAAGCATAAATGTAAATAAATACATTGACTTGATCTCTTACACCCATCAATTGACTTATTCTTCATATAGCTATCCAATTCCCTCTTCAATTTGCTAACGCAATCTGCTTCCACTGCTTCCTGGGTCATCAATTCGCAGGAAAGAAAACAGAAGGCTGTACATAGAAACAACCTGTCTTTCTGCAATGTCATGTTTTAAATAACTTAGCCTTCCCTATTCTCACTGGAGAACACAGAAGCTGCAATCACCTTAGTTCCTGAAGATAAACTATACATCAGCTCTTTTGCATTACAAGTTTGCCTCCGAGTTCGCAAGCAGGTTTCTACCAGCACTGCATAATGAAAAACAGTTTTCTGCTGGTGAATGTCCATTTAATATTGTCATGCACTGCAGGGGCCAAATTATGATGCACTTCAAGAAAAATAAATAATATTCCACAAATAATGCTGATCTGTATCCAACTTTGATCCAGAGGGGCAGCCTATCTAAATCTTCCCATAGGTAACTTTCAAAGAACAACAAAATAGCTGAGACAGCACGAATAAATAGATAAACAAGCTAACTCTCAGCGTAATAATAATAATCCTTGCATTTGATATAGCACGTTTCACGTCTTCTGGACGTCTCAAAGCGCTTCACAGAATAGACTGTAAAGCGAATTGACTGTATATTTATGGGCGAAATGCGGCAGCCAATTGCACACAGCAGTGTTCCATAAACAGTCGTGGATTGAAATGACCATTGAGGGATTATTATCAGGGGTGTTTTGTAAGGAAACTTGCCCAAGGATTCACCCTGCCGGGAACCCAGGTCTCTCGTTTGCAAAGCGAGTGCTCTAACCACTGAGCTACACGACTCCACAAATTGCTTACTGTAATTTCCCAGCATAAGAAAGCCTGGGAAATTACAGTAAACAATTTCAAAATTCAATGGCCTTAGCCAGACAAACAGAACAAAAACAAAGCTAAAAATGGAACACAACGGGACAAGGGAAATAAAGATGTGGTTAGTTTGATCCAAATTGAGGTTTTTTGTAACTCCCAATTGTGAGAGAAAAGTCTTCAGTTCTTAAGAAAGCATGAAGTAGAGTAGAAGGCAATGCAATGATTCATTTCAACACAGGTCAGGGACTAGGGAGAGCATGTAGAATGAATGAGCTTGGAGCTTGGTATCAAGTTCAGAGAAACGATACAAAACTCTAGAATGAAAATGAAAACTGCCTTTTAGAAATGAATATGGTAATTCGAGTTGAGATCAGAGAATATTGCAAGAATGTTAATAGTAAAGAACCATTTAAGAAACAATTTGATACTATAAGGAAGGTGGTAGGGTTGCTTGTCTGAAAGTGTGAGATCAAATGGGCCAAAGGGCTGCTCTCATTCAAATCTTTCTTCCAATTTTGTGAAGGACTAGGAGAGCTATGGTAGCAGTTGGTTGGACTTTCAAGGTATTGGGAAGCTGTTTCTTCAAAGTAGATTTTCCTGACTTCAAAGCCATTGAGCCATTGTATTGCAAATTGGGAATAGGTTGTAGCACTGAGTCTGAAGGAGGCTGATATACCAGAGTCATCTGTAAAACAGCTGGGTGGTTAAAAGACACCATTTATATACAGATAAGAGAGAGAATAGAAGGAAAAGACCATTGATAGGGAGAAGAAAATAGTAAGATAACATGGGCAGCAGTTACATTGTTAGGGCGAAGTAACATTACTTTCATTAGAATATGTTAACAGATAAATTATAACACCAGATAAAGAAAATAGCGGTGTTCTATGGGTATATCTGTCATCTGGTCATAAACAAAGAGCTTAGTTTTAGCCACTCCTTTCCTCTTTAGTTACATGTTTGATTTCTAATACATAGAATTACACGAACCACACAGACAATAACTCATTCCCCACTGCAGCCCCGGAAAACCAATTAGCACACAGTCTCAAACCTTAAACCTGGGGACCTTTTTAAAGCAATCAGGTGAAGGAGCCTGCAAGAGATATTCACAACTGTCCTTAGTACTGAGCCAGTAACATAATAACTTCCATCAATCTTAGCCCCAAAATTGGACTGCGAATAAATCCTTGTAACACTCAAATCCAAAATATATTAATGTAGGTTAGATTTCTATAAAAACAGAAATGTTTCCTGACTGCATTGCATGGTTATAGTTATTGAAAGAGGTTAGAATGAACAGAGGTAGTGCAACGTAAACAACTGTGTATCTTGGAATTCTCTACCAGGCATCTTCTTTAGTCGCTTGCCTCAGGGAACAGGAGTGTAAATGTGTATTGCTCATGCAAAACCTCACCCTCTGAAAGGCAACAATGGGACAACCTCGGAGCAGGTTTCAGCTTTCTCGTTTGAAGTGGGTGTGAAAAAAAGCAGTTTTGAAAAATATCCTCAAAAAGCAGGTTTAGACAGATTTTTGCCTGCGTATGCATTTCTCTTACATTGTGGCATGTACGTTATACTTAACTATCCTCCACAATGTGACAGCTGAAATGTACAGCAGTCATTGTATTTTGTCCTGACAGCACTGAACTCATAAGAACTAAGCTGAGTAAGCTGTCTCAAGTATTATGAGGGTAGAAGATGACAGCAGTTCAACCATATAATCACATTAACAACTAGACTCAAAGCCTTAACAAAGCAAATGTTTTTTCCAGTAAAGATTACTGCTGAGGTGGGCCTCAGCACGTTGCTAAACCTATATGTTACACCACAAAGTGGTAAGACACAACAAAAATGGTATGTGGTGAAAACAAAGGGAAAAAATTGCAAATTAAATTTGAATCAACATGGGCCTCTTACCCTCATCATTTGGTTGTCATTAACAGATTGCTGTATCTGGCATTGTGGAGCCAGACTGGGGATTCGATTTAAAAAATGGGTATTTCTTTTTCTTTAAAATAAGCAATAGAGTCAATTACAGTCCTGTCCTGATATCCCGTAGTAGTTGGGATCCATAAAATCCCAGCCAGCATTATAACAAGGCATGATAGCCAGTTAGTGCTTCGGAATTCACTGCGCATGCACACACAAAGATTGGCGGGCTCAACTGATGCTTCAAACCTTGGGCTGGTATGCAGGAAGCCAAAATTAATGCCTCGGTCACCAAGGCATCGTCGAATTCACAAACTTAAGCTCTGCTATAACCGAGTTAAACTGTAGTTAGTATAGTATACTTTTAGTGTTAGTAGTCTGGATTAGGTAGTTAATACTGCCTGGAACTCCAAGCTTTAGACAGTACCTGCTGTCGTTCCAATTTTTTGGCCAGTTTTTTCAGTGCTGCAGGATCATCTGCCTGAACATGATCTGGGACCCGTTTCACCACTGTGAAGGAAGAAAGCAGAAGTAGTTTTCAATAACCAGGAAAAGTGATAACTGCACAGAAAATACATCAGCCTCTCAACTCTCTTAAATAAGTCTGCTTTACACTGCTGTTACTCCTCGGCATCACTCTACAGGGTACTACAGGATCCTCCATCACTTAATGCCACTGGAGCACTAACATTAAGTCTTTAGCACCTTTTCATTTAACTAACACTGCGGGTCAGAATCAATCTCATGTGTAGTAGGCAGTGTGAATAAGGCTGCAATTTAATCCTAATGTATGTAATATCTGTAAACTGCCCAATATACCAGTTTCCTTGTAACTGACATTTGAACTCCCATTATAAACTACACAACCTGGCTGCTAATTTCTAACCACCTATAAATGTATATATTCTGTAGAAGAAGGTGGCAAAACATCAACCACTTACACAATTTAAGTAAATGTTAAAAAATAATTTTAGTTTTTTTTGTAGATTCATATGAAAAACTTGGAATGACTGCAGACAATTTGTCTCATTAGCCCACGGGCTCCACATTTCAAGCTGATGATTGTATCACTATCTCCTCATCTGACCCCACCGTCCACCCAATCGAATGATCCCATGACTTCCTTTTGAACAGAAGTCTTTTCACCTCTGGGCTATTTGTGGGACATTGCTGTGCGGAAATTGGCTGTCATGTTTGCTTACAAAATACAGTCACAACACTTTACAGTACATCCTGTGAAGTACTTTGAGACATCCACATGAGGTAAATATGTTACATCAAATGTAAGGATTAATAATACTGTAGCTAAGGCTTTCTATAGTTTAAACTGAAAAGGATTGCAATGTTGGCCAACAGTGTACAATGGATTCAATGGACTATCTTTTGCCTGCAAATTACACACTTACTCCACATTACAGTATATCCTGTGAAGCACTTTGAGATGTCTCAATGACATAATAACGCACAATATCAAATGCAAGGATTATTATTGTTTAACAGTACTCAATATGGAATCTTACCTTGTTGAGGTTCACTGGGTACAGACTTTGACTTCACTGAAGCAGAAGGCTGGCTCTGCTCAGACTTTTTAGGCTGTTTTGCACGGTCTTCTTGCTTTGCTTTCCGCTCTGGCCGGAATTCTGCTTTGCTCTTCCCCGTTGAACCTTTCTCGCCACTGGCAGGAGTGTCACCAGACACTGCAGTTGGTGTTGGTGCTATATAAAAAAAAGAGCCATAACATATAGAATAAATGGGCGCTGAGGCAGCACAAATTGAGCAGTGCAATTCACAAATCCACACAGCATAAACACAATGAGCACAAATCATCCTTGGCTACCTCTCGCTTGACTTTTTTTCATTATGAAAAGGTTAACCTAATGATAAGCTCTTTATTACCACTGAAACATTTTTAACATATTCATCAAGATGCAGACATACAGAAAACTGAAACCTGGTGTTTTTTTTAGTTTCTATGCAACGTTGAGGCAGCAAAACATAAATAAGATTTCTTGTTCCAAATTGTAAGAATGGTAGAAGAACAGTAGTCTCTCTCACTCCAGTAGTAAAACACAGCAATATAGTAAACTCCTGATAACTTGTCACTCAAGGGAAAAGGGCTCAGTGATGAGTTATCTAGAGGGTCAACTTAGGCATACGTATAAATAATTGAATAAATGCAGCCAGGATATTGACAGCATAATGACTTGATTGATAGTCACAAGTTAAGTTCAGGTCTGACTTACACATTTGAAAAAAAACAAAATCTTACCTTCCATATGGACAAAACAAAAATGCCATTTTATTTCCTCTGCTCTTGTTAAACTCTCTGCCCCTGCCCAACCCACCCCACCCAATTCCAAGCTTTTAATCCCATTATTAGGTTCTAGATAGGGTATTCTCTAACTAAGAGAGCGATCAATCAGGCTCAAATTCAATGGAGGTTTATAATTCATGGAAAATTAAGTCCACTGAATATTTGGTTGTGCATTTATTTTAAACTTAGAATATTTGAACAAAGGGAAAAAAGAGCTGATGCTCTATAGAAAGACACACCATGGTGCAGCACTAGGCTTAACACACCAGACGTTGGCAGCCTCAATTCCAGTCCTTCTGTGAGTCACTGATCTTTGCATCTGGTGAAGCATCTTATGTTGTTTAGATGTATCAAAGCAAGACATAGGATTTTTTTTACCGTGTATGTAGTGACTATTTGTAGGCAAATTTGGCAGTCAATTTGTTGAAAGGTCACCAACCTTAAATATTAACTCACTTTCCTCTCTCCATAGATAGTACCTGACCTGCTGAGTGCTCCCAGTGACTTCTGATTGGGGGATTATTGGCTAGGACATTTGAAGAAACTTCCTTCTCTTTTCAAATAGTCATAGGATTCATAACATCAATGTGAAAAGGCAGACAGGGCCTCAGTTTAATCATCTGACTCAGAGGTGAGAGTGCTACCAACTGAGCCAGGCTAACACCTGCAATTGGCCTCCTGGGCTAGGGAGGGATGTAAAAAATACAGCCAGGTTAGGTTCCCACTACTGTTAACTATCCAGAGATCTCTGCTGGAAGGCACGCATGCCTGTGCGAATATCAGCTCAGAACATGACACTGTCAAGGCTCGCACATGGATAATGGCCACTTGGGACTGCGGAATTGCAAATCAGCAAAAGGATGAAGAGTCAAATGCAATCAGCAGTGAGGGAAGAAGATTGAAAAAAAAATCAATAGATGAAAATATCTCCAACATGGGCATCTTGGAACCAGATAGAGAGGAAAATTAAAGATCAGTCGAAGAGAAAGAAATGTAAACCTACATTTCTGTTGCTGCAATTGCTGTTGTTTCTTGGAGCCATCTGTAGAGAGAGATTTCTCAACATCTGTGGACTTATCTCCCTTCTTGTTTTTCTTTTGTTGTTTTTTCTCCTTCCTCAATTTCTGTTTTTCTTCTTTGGACAATTCCTGTCCTTCTATCTATCGGGAGGGAAAAAAACATAATTCTTTATGTAGCTTTCAAAAGAACAAACATAGTTTAAGGAATGTAGCGTTAGATTGTGTAATACAGGAACTTCCACTCTGGGTGCAGTGGTGACCACCCAAAGAAGTAATAATAATAATCCTTGCATTTGATATAGCGCTTTTCACGTCTTCTAGACGTCCCAAAGCGCTTCACAGAATATACTGTAAAGTTAATTGACTGTATATTTGTGGGCGAACGCGGCAGCCAATTGCGCACAGCAATGCCCCACAAAAAGTCGTAGATTGAAAAATAACCAATTTATTATTGTTTTTTGTTTTGGAGGGATTATTATTAGGCGTGTGGGGTAAGGAAACTTGCCCAAGGTTTTGCCCTGCCTGGAATTGAACTCAGGTCTCTCGCTTGCAAAGCGAGTGCTCTAACCACTGAGCTACAGGACTCCACATACCAACATAAGAACTCCAAGCCATCTTTCAATATAATTCTTATAAAACGCATAGTGAATCAACATTAAAGTAATGTTATGTACTCTGAGACGCAACGACTCCATAACAATTCCAAAACAAGAAAGCTTAGAGCTATATATTGAAAGATACATACAACTCACATCATGCAAACCCTACTGTAAGTGGTATTGTATTTAGAGCAAGTTGCTAAGTAAAACTTTCTGTAATCCAGATCACACTGGATCAATACTTGCCATTTTTGAAGATCTGTTGTTTCCAATCCAAACCGTTTAATTAATTCTATGATCAACTATAAAAGGCCACCCAGATAGTGTACTTTATATGTAAAGTGTGTTCTTTGATGCCAAATCGCTGACATTAGCCTTTAGTAGTGTCTGTTCTCATTGATCTTAAGATATGATCTAAGTGGCAAAATCTAGGGATATATTGCACAAATGTGTTCTTTTAAAAAACAACTGAATAAAAATGACTTTTTAAATTTACATCAACTTATTTTTAAAAGTAATTTGCATTGAGCCTAACAATCTTTGAAACATTAGAAAAACTGCTAAAAAACGGCTCACATTTTTCACTGGTTAAAGGGGTAAGCAATACAACTGAGGTGTTATATGAAAAGAGAGTAACCCATCTCTTCGAAGATTTGCCCCGTTTGGAGGAGAAAACAAATATAGTTGCCAGTTGAAAAATGCAGTTAATGAACGCTTGTTGAGTTTATCCAGTCATTAGCTAAGCTACTAACAACAACAACTTACATTTATTTAGCATATTTCATGCTGGATAGTGTCTTGTAGCAATGATAGTAATATAATAATAGTAATCCTTGCAATTTGATATAGAACCTTATCACATCTTTGAGGCGTCTCAAAGCGCTTCACAGAATATACAGTAAAGTGAATTGACTGTATATTTTTTGGGCGAAGAGTGGCAGCCAATTCCGCACAGCAGAGTCCCATAAACAGTTGTAGATTGAAGTGACCAATTTCTTTTTAAGGAATTATTACCCCTGGAAAAGCAAACCGCTAATCGACTAACAATCAGGTTCCTGTATGTTGTTCACAAAACATGCGTTAAAACAAGACAGCTAAAAAATATGAATATAATGCAATATATACATATACATGTAAAGCAACTACAAAAACTATATACAGGAGAACCCAGTGGTAGTCTTCACCCCTCCACCACTACCACAATATAGCGCTGCCTCACTTGGTAGCACAGATCTACTACGAACTGTGGAAATGGGAGACTCGATACACCAAGCATCCAGTGTGACTAACCAGACCTTCAGGTGATCAGGTTGTTGCCACTGCGGTCACCTCACATACAAAACACACTTGCATAAGAAGCACCATTGATGTCATTTCCTGCGCACTATGCACAGCACACAGGGAATTATGCCATCTAACGACTTGGAAATTGGGAATTCTCATGTGCTTCATTTGTAACACAGGCTCTGAGCTAATGGAACCAAAGGCCTCGTGCTATAATGAAGTTCCCCTAAAATACCCTATTGGACAACTTATAGCATGTAACTGTGCAAAGCCTGGGTTCAATTTCTGGTTTGTGGTGAGTTAGCTGGGGTGACCTAAATGCAGTGTAATTGACCTGATGCTCCTGGATTTTCCAACTTTTTCAGTGTTCCCATCTCAGTAACTACAGAGTCAAATCTGGAAGCTAAATCTATCTTTTGTTGCAATTGTGGGTTTGTTTTGTGCATTCAATGATATAACTTTAACAGCCTTTCAAATCAGGCTGTGGGACTTTTGTTTCATAAAAGCTCTGAAGGTACAGCAGAAAGAATCTGATGACTGAACAGAATGAACTTTGAACATACAGGGGAACTTTGTCTTCCTGAAAAGCTTTTACACAAAATGCTTGATTCACAGTACAATGCATTAGTCCTAAAAAAAAGCACCAAATTCATCCGCTTTGAATTAACACCCACGGAAAGGGATTTATTTGTTGCTGCAGGTACTCAAAATATTCTTCCTGATCCCAGTTCCACGATGTACCTCACTATTTTCTCTCATTTGTTTAAAAATCAACAACGTTGTTCAACAAATTTGCCCACAAAGCACAGTCACTCCACTTGACAGTATGAAGCTCTGCAGTTCATGTCCTCTCCCGCATCAGGTTCGGCACCCCTATCACCTCCATCCTCACCCAACTCCACTGGCTTCCCATCACACAGAGGATACAGTTCAAGATCCTGGTCCTCACCTTCAAAGCCCTCCATGTCCTTGCTCCCTCTGCAACCTCCAAACCCCCTACCAACCTGTAGTTCCCTCCACTCAGTGGGCGGACCTTCAACCACTCTGCCCCCCACCCCTCTCTGGAACTCTATCCCACAGTCCTTCTGCCTTACCCCCTCCCTTACCTCCTTCAAGACCCATCTCAAGACCCTCCTCTTCGACTGTACCTTCGATCAGCCTCTTTCCTCCCTGCCTCCACCCTCCCCGATCCCAACCTCCAGTTTGGGTCCAAAACACTGATTGTCCAGTGCCTTGGGACGTCCTTCTGACATGAAAGGTGCTATACAAATGTAATTTTGTTGTTGAGAGATGAATTATTATGTCTCGCACAAAGCAACACATTAAACAGGAGACAGAGCTCCACTAGCCAAAGTAGTTCATTTAAATCATGGGAGCATCTGGCAATCAGTACTAGGAATAAATAAAAATAATAAGCTTTTCATATCTTCTAGACATCTCAAAGCGCTTCACAGAATATACTGTAAAGTGAATTGATTGTATATTTTGTGGGCGAAATGCAGCAGCCAATTGCGCACAGCAATGTCCCACAAACAATCGTGGACTGAAGTGAACAATTTATTATTGTTTTTTTCTTAAGGGATTATTATCAAGCATGTGGAGTAACGAAACTTGCCCAAGGTTTTGCCCTGCCGGAAACTGAATCTAGGTCTCTTGCTTGCGAGGCAAGTGCTCAAACCACTGAGCTACAGGACTCCACAATAAACAATAAACATTGTGAATAAACAATCTATTACATCAGGGACAATCTTTTCCTCTTCATCACTGCTATCATGTACCCTTTTGATTTGGTACCCTGGGATGAACCATAGCATACAGTGTTCACATTCCCTTTTACACGACACTCTTTTCAACTGAATTATTTAAAGAAGCTTTATGTGTTACTTAGACAGCACTGGAGAATTGTTTATGTCATTCTGCCAGAAAGTGACACGTAACAAAATTAGTATTACAATCAGAATTGTTATGCAGCCAGACTTACCATTTAAGTATAGGCATTTTAAGCAGACTATAGATGGGTTGGGGCCATTTTCCTAGGACCTGAAATTCCAAACGTCCCTTACCTCAGTCTTCCTTTCTTGCTACGATCTAAAACCTTTTAAAACTTGGTATCGCACAACTTTCCAGTTGTCCATTTATCTCCTCATCCTTGGTGGTGTTCTGCATTATGAGCATTCTGATGTTTTTTCTTCGTGTTTTGCCCAGAAAAATACAGTCAATTCACTTTACAATATATTCCGTGAAGGGCTTTAAGACATCTAAACAATGTGATAAGGCCCGATATCAAATGCAAGATTATTATTATTCTCTCCTTGCTCCAGAGACAAAAGCCCAAACTGGGGAGCTTAAAAGGTCAAGTTTGGGACCTTAGTTTGGCAAATAGCTGCAGAATTTGGTACAAGAAACAGGCTACATTGGACAGGAATTAGTTGCAAAGTGCTTTTGAGACATTTTGACATGAAAAGGTGCAATAAAAATGCACAAATGCAAGTTCTTCTCTTCACATCTGATGCTGTCACTGCTAATGTTCTGCCATTTGGCCAGCAGTCGCATCTAATACGGCACCAGGGCTCACAAACTGACAAGAAAGGAGAACCTTGAATCACACCACTGCCAGTTCAATGCTGGCAAGAAAACTGCTGATTTACTGGCAATGATATTCTCTGGTTGCTCAGTGGTCTCGGCTTTTAAAATGCTTCTCCAATGTCTTCAGAGGAAACTACACGCAGGGGAATGAATTACATGCATGTTGTTTAATAATAATAATCCTTGCATTTGATGTAGCGCTTTTCACGTCTTCTCGACATCTCAAAGCGCTTCACAGAATAGACTGTAAAGTGAATTGACTGTATATTTGAGGGAGAAACACGGCAGCCAATTGAACACAGCAGTGTCCCACAAACAATCGTGGATTGAAAATGACCAATTTATTATTGTTTTCTTTTGGAGGGATTATTATTAGGCGTGTGGAGTAAGGAAACTTGTCCAAGGTTTCGCCCTGCCTGGGATTGAACCCAGGTGTCTCGCTTGCAAGGCGCATGCTCTAACCACTGAGCTACAGGACTCCACAGTGGACAGGACCAAGCATGAAGAAAGTATTGGGGAGACGAAACGCAGATTGGGTGACCGATTTGCTGAACACCTCTGTTCTGTTTGCAAGCTCAATCCTGAACTTCTGGTTTCTTACCACTTCAACTGTGCCTCCCACTCTGGCCTCTCCATCCACGGTCTCCTACACTGTTTCTATGAGCCACAACG